ACATAAAAAAGGGCCTAATTAAACCTGTGCGCTTGCAAGAAGCTCACACAAGAACTTAAATATAGTAGCCCGCGTCGGAAATGATAGCGTATCCATGAATTGGTCAAAAATCATTTCCAGTTATTGCACGTATTTATAAGCTTGAAAATTTTGCACATTGTACTTAAAAACTGGGGCGGAGTGCTGGGGCAGAATAACCTGGGGAGCAGAAAACTTGTTATCGAACAACTATCACCGGGCTTCGTGCCACACCTAACTGACATGACGGTGGATGAGACTGGAAAGGAGAGCATAGGTAGTGACCACCACTGTTTTGGAATATGGTTTGGAGCACAACCTTCAGCAGGTCTTCTCAATTTCATACACATCACTGTAAGCTTTCAGACATCTGAAAAGATGACCAGCATTTTTTAGAGGCTCGTGACAGCAAAAAAGAAAAGTATGGTGGAACAGCAAAGGAGCTGTAGCCCTGTCATCACATTAACAGCTGTGCTGGCAGCATAGCCATACTGGGCTGCATGGTGCTGTTGATGTGGAGGTTCTTAATTTATGGGTCTGCTACATACAAGCACAGAAATCAGCGTCCACATTAGTGAAAGTGCGTGGGAGCTATGGACACCAAGCTGCTACGCAAGAGGCTGGTCGGCACTATGGGATGAAGTTTCAGTGGCATATCCAATGTCATTGTACCTGCCACGGACAGATCACTGTCATGACCCACACATGGTTTTGGAATATGCTATTGATGTATCTGTTCGGTGATTCATCAGAAAGCTCATCACCACTGATAAGCTCAAGTGATAGGTGGGATGGCACGTACTGAATGCCTCTGGCCCGCGGTTCACTATTCTGTGAGCATTATCACCTAAGGGTGATTGGAGCATGCTCTTAAAAAGTTGTCACGATGATAGGCGGTTAGATTGCATGGAATCGATGCATGTACAAGGGTAGACAGTGGAATTCAGACCCCACTGAAGTGTCAAAAGCCCTATGACAGGAATGTCGCCATTCTTCATGGTTTTCGTCTGAAGTTGCCTAAGGTGCATGGGGAAGGCATTAACACTCAACATATGCCGAGAGTGCTTTAAATGCATGACATTTTTCTTATGTCTTACAACGCTGACAAGTTGCCATACAGGTGAAGGCATGAAACTTTGTTTATGTTTCAATGTCGAGAAATATGCTGTCACTGCCTCTCTATTGAAAGCTCTCCAGTTGGTCTTGGAGCCCTATATACAAGGTAATTTCACTGTTCTGACTTGTGAGAAGAAGTACCTCACAGAAAGCATCACATCTACCCACAAATAGTATTTGTCGTACTAAAACACAATGTCCACTATACCTTCATTAGCTTGATTGTTTGTTGGTTTTGTTATGTTGTGTCCAGCAGAAAAAACAAGCTCTCTCTTTCTTTGCTGAGCTATGAAAAAGACTACTGGTGAAGGTGAAGGCCTGTTCTTCTTTTTATTGCTCCAGTGCACTGTGGTCTTTGAGCTGTTTTAAAGTTGTGAGGGCTAGCGCTGTGAAAAAGGGCATGCGTAATGAGCCCCATTTTCTCAAATATGGTGCATTGTCTTCCTTCATTCATACAACAGACCCTGGTGACATACCAAACAAAGTTAAAGCTGGCCACAGGAAGGCACACAGGAAGGCATATCTCATGAGGCAATTGATATTGAAACGAAACTTCTAGCCTACAAAGCATTCGTCAGACCTGTCTTAGAATATGCAAACGTCGCGTGGTTTTCCTTTACAAACAATCTCATAAATGCCCTAGAACGAATACAATGAAAAGCTATAGGATTTGTCTATAACAAGTACAGAATAACTGACTCACCCACAGAACTTTTAAAAAAATCAGGTCTCTTAACAATAAAAAACCGCGCTAAACTGGCACATCAGAAATTCCTATATCAGTTAGTTCACCAACAGCTAAACATAGACAGTTCAAAGTACATGTCATTTAAGGAAACAAGGCCAACACGACAAAAGCATTCTCAGACACTGAATGAATATCAGTGCCGGACGGACTGTCTGAAATATTCTTTTTTTCCACTAGCAATTCGCGAGTGGAATAACTTGCCAATCAGTATAACAAACAGTCAATCATTGAAAACTTTTTCATCCCTGCTCGAATGTTATTTATTGTCTTCAGAACTGACGAACTCTGTTTTTTTCCTGTCCACTGTTTGAAGTGCTCACTTTTCTTTTTTTCAGTACTAGTTGGAATTGATGTCGTATGCTACTGAATGTATTTTAGTGGTACAGATGTAGTCATCAAATGTATTTCTGTCGGCTTTGTCTCACTCTTTATTATAATAATTTAGTGAGTACCCTCTGTATAAATCTTGACCTTTCACAATGTATGTTCCCTTCCTGCAATAATCCCTAATTGGGATTGGCAGTATATGTAAATAAATAAATAAAATAAAAATATAAAGAGTAATTTATTGATCAGTCTCTTTTTAAAGTCCGTGACTCCAGGACAAAAGTCGCTCAATAGATGAAGTATATTCATTTGTGATAAATCACTGTGAAGTGAGTGACCCGAATGAAAGCCTTATCAAACGATACAGTATCTACAGGGTATGGGTCGCAACCCTATCACTCATCACTTTGTGACCAAGGGCCCTAAATTAGTAAGCATATGTTGAGGCTCCAAGGTAAGCAGCCTGCTAGGCAAGTCTCATGATAGTGTGCTCGAGTTTGCCTCTGGTATAATGCTTACACTTTGGATATGAATATAAGTTGCCAGTGCAGTTGAAGAGCATTGTCCCCATATTGCCTATACCCTAACCTTAAAGCTAGGTTCCTGACAAAAAGAAAAAATGTGTTTCTGTGAATGAATGAAGGAATAGAAATTTGAGGGATGGATTATTTTGTTTAACCCAACCCTAATGAAAACCAAACCAGCTGATAAAAAAGCCAACGAAGGTATAGAGAATGGTAATTGCACTGTTTGATAGTGTACTATAGTAATTATGATACAAATGTGAAGAAAGTAGAGTGAACGAAAAGACAACTTGCCACCGTCAAGAACCGAACCTGCAACCTTTGTATTATGTGCCCAATGTTCTTACCAGTTGAGCTAGTATAATGGCGCATCTTGCCGTCCACTTTATGGATATTATACGCATGCAAACTTGGGAATGCTAGCACCACTTGTAGCCATGATGGTGAGTGTGGAAGGTCATGAAGCATCTGAAGGAGGCATATCTTGTGCAGACATTTAGGCCAGACAAAGCATAGAGGGTGCTAATTTTGTTTAACTGTAGTGTACTAATTTTGATGTGAATAAAATGAAGTGAGTGAAAAAGCACCGATGAATTCGTATTGTGAATCTGATGCTTTACTGATTGAGTTATGTTGGAAAGTATACTTCCCCATCCTCTCTGTTGGGTATTTCTGAGCATGTAATTTCTGAGAGTGTCAGCCAGCTGGCTGACGTTGCCACATTGCAGACTCCGAACATACGACCTTCGAATAATTCGTCTGATGCTCTACCACTGAGCTACGGTGGCGGCTATCCCCCCTTGTCCATTTTATAGGGTATATATGTGCATTTAAATGTGTGAACGTCAGTCAACACCCAGGTAAGTGTGTATAACTATTCTTTCGCCATATGGTATTGCATGGCGCACAAATGGCTTTCCAGTTGGGAATAGTTTTCATTTTCAGCTTGAAGTTTTCCAATGCCAGTTTATAAGTTATATTGCCAGCTGGAAATTTTTCCATCTTCAGTTGAGAAATAATTTTCTCGATTAGCATGAAATTTTCCTGTTTGGGAGTGGTTATTTGACAAAAGGAATTTGAGCCAAACAAAACATTGCTCAACATACAAGTGATAGGTTAAGTGTATACCATGTTTATTCGAATGTAACGCGAGTTTTTTTACCAGATTTTTGCTACCTATTGTCCTACGCGTTTCAAATGAAATACCAAGATTCAACTTTTCCTTTCTAGTAACCTCTCGGTAATGCAGCCTGTACATTTGAGGATGACTCAGAATATCGATCATATGAATGCGTGGGCGTCGTGAGGGGATAGAAAAGGGGCACTTGCCCCCCTCAATACACACCAACATTTGCCCCCACCCAAGCTACACCAGCGCTCTCCCCCTCCCCCAGCAGTGGTGCAACACAAGTTAGCACCCCACACCCCTAGATTACAATATCCGGCCGACACGGCGTTGCAAAAATGTTACACAACAGCAGACGTTCAACCAGGTGCTTGCTCAGTTGCTCATTAAGCCGGCTAGTGTTAAAACAATACCGGCTTCTTCCTTGAGAAAAGAAGCCTTACTTTCAAATTCCCCATTGACTGCCACGATCGAATATTTGTAAGCTTTGCTAGCATGTTCTCTATGACTGATACCGCAGCCACGAACCACGAAAAATGACGCGCGTTGCCGATCGTTTAACATCGCGACCTACAGTAGGCCGTGGCAACGCCTCCTAGATTTCTCGTGCCTGCCGGATGAGCGCGAAACGCCGGTCATCTATGACAGCGCTGCCTACGTAGGAATAAGTTTTCTGTACTCAACCTTTGAGATTGGCAATTTTGGCGTTTGCTGCTAGTTTCAGAGGATGCCTTGTATTAAAAAAGTTGCTTGCTGATTAACGGCGTCACTTACGTAGGGTTAATTATAACCACGTTTACACTTTTTAAATCTTTTTAACGTTATTCTTGTTGCTTATAAGCTCCAAAAACGTAAAAACCTATTTGAAAACATCCCTACTTGAGTAGCGCCACTATCGTAGTTCCGACGACCGCCGCTTCCCAAGTGACCATCGCTAATCCGGCAGGCACAGGAAATCTAGGAGGCGTTGGCCGTGGCAACGCGTTGGTCGTGGACCTCAGTGTTTTTTAATGCTATTTCTAAATTATAGCTGACTTTTTATTATGCATACTGTATAATAAAAGTAAGTTTTTTTAATGGTAACATCATCAACGATAGTGGTCTAGTACACTCACTAAATCATTATTAGTTACCGCAGCGAAACAGCAGTTTCGTACAACAAATGGCGGCTAGTAGAGCAAGTCGCTCATCTGCGCACTCGGTGTACGCTAGTCTAGTGATTTTACTTGAGCAATACCTGTGTGGCGGTTGTATCTAACAGTTCAGTTTTATCTTTGGAAAGTGCTACGAGTGATGACAGTATGTTCAAGTGGTTCTTCCTGCTGTACCGTGTGCGATGTGTTGGATTTAGCGCCGATTATGTCAACCGTGATTCTACCGTTTGGAGGTAAGTTTTGCGCTTAAATATTTCAAGTACAAATGCACGTCTGTCCCGAATGTTTGTACGCAATGTTTGTATACGCGCGAAATGCACTACCGGTCGGTTTGGGCAAAAAGATTTTCTCGCCAATATCCATGTGCCGTTCAATGCTTGTGCCAGTTGCGTGCATGCGTCTTTCCAACTAACGCCGGTAATTATGTGCGCGTGAATATGACGTTAATTCGGAGTTTTTTAAGGTTGATAATAAATAACTGTAGCTTAGCACCTGCAGTTGAAACCGCAATGCCCATCAAATCTTTCCTGAAAAAAAAAAAAAAACATTTGCTTTACGTGCTGCTGTTGTTTTGGGTGTATGATAAAAGTGTATTGTACTGCTTTGCAAAGCTGTATTGATGCTAGCTGTTCATGTGGGTTGGTGCAGTTATACTTTTGCTAGAATAGCGTTTTATATCTCACTGTGGTTTTAATTTGCGCTCACTATGCATGAATATATTTTTCAGGTGGTGTACAAGGATGTAAGCAACTCATTCCACATCTCGAGATATGTTCCAGCACTTGCTACAAGCGTTCGAATAAATGTTTTTAAGTTGATGGATATGTGGGAAATAACGTCCCCCCCCCCCCCAAAAAAAAAAATTCAAGTTTCAAAACCGTTTTCTCTGTCTGTGTTCAGTGATCTGGATAAACAGGTAAATAGGGACATTCTTTCAAGGCTTGCAACAATTTCCTGCTTAAAATGTTTCCATTCGCAGCTGGGAATATTTTCATTTCCTGCTGGACCATGGAACCTGGAACTTTTCCAGGCTGGAGAAATTTTTCATTCCCAACTAGAATTTCCAGCCTGTAAAAATTTTTTGGTTATAATCCAGCTGGGAATGGGAATCATTTCTACATGGGTAGAAATGATTCCCATTCCCATCAGTCCCCTGTAACAGAGGGACTGATGGACAATTGAGAGGTACAGGGTGAAAGTGCAAAAGATGAAGACAAGGAAGAGGCTTGCCACACACACACGTGTTGGAATAACTTGGCACTGGTGTATATGTCAAGCCTCTTTTCTGTTTTACTATTTTGTTCTTTCACCCTGTACCATGCCAAACCAACAAGCTCAAGCTACTCTTGTGAACAAGAGAGCTTTGGCCTGTTCATGATCATAGCTAGCAACTCCAGTGGCGGATTCTGAGGGGGGTTGTGGGAGTGGCGATCGCCCCCTCCCCCATTCCTGTAGAGTGCCGCTCGTATCTCCCATCATCCATAAGGACACGAGTGAGATCACTATGAGCACAAATTAACAGGTTAACCGTAATTATGCTATGATAGACCCAGGTTCTTTTGATTATAGTAACTACTGAAAACAAGAGATTCGGGAGCAGGCCCCCTCGAGTGAGCGGCTGGATCTGCCCGTGAAGAACCCTGCAAATACGTATAAGAATTTCGCTTCGTATATCGTACCTTCCGCCCTTCACCCTATACCTTCCTCCCTTGAGGACTAACAGAATAATGACTAAATTGCACGTCTAGTCACGCCTCGCGGTATACCTATAATGCTCCACTGCAAAAGGTCAATAACAAAGTGCTTTTTTTTTTAAATAGAAATCATTAATTATACATAGTCGCCATACCGCGATACTTCTAAGCCAAACAAGACTACATTTCATGTAGAGTCCATGGAGCCGTTAATGAAGTGAACCGTTTCGTGTTTCATAGTGCAGTGCATGAACAGAGTAGGAATAGGCACTCGGGCTCTGTCCTCGCTTTCAACAAGAGCTTGGTGATCAAAGGTTTCACTGGCACTTCGTCTCAGTTATCATTTATATTGGCTGGTGACTGGCAGACTACGCGCGTGCGTGCACGTGCTAGTTCCATCACGAGGGGCCATCACGAGGAGCCGCTGACGGCACTTCACAGTCATTCAGTGGAGCAAGAACAAGGATGTCCTGCTCGCGCTGTGGTTCTTTGGGATCTGCGATCTTTTGTACCCACGGCATGGAACCCCATTCGGCAGCTGATAAAGGTACTTGATTTTTGAAATGCTTTGATGTTTAACTTCTTGACTCGATAAAGCAATCATTTTAGAGAATTGTGCTTACCTGAGCCCATTGGTTACGTGGCGAGACGGGTTCCAACCAGCTACTTGGACGACGATACGAAGAGACACACCGTGGGTGTGCCGTTGGTCTTTCTATCCTCGCCCTAGTAGTTGGCTGGAGCTCGCCTCGCAACGACAATATTTTCGTTTGTCTGAGCTACTGTAGATCCACCTCATTGTCTTCGGTAAGTTGCAAGAGGTGGCGTTTAGGGCTACGTTGCTTCATCTACTAGACGAGCTTTGCTAAAACAAGCTGCCACGGAGGTGTTCCAGATCTCTTCACCTTTGGTTTCTTCGTTTCGATTGCATATTTTTCGTGGTTGCAGTGCGTATTCCAAGCTCATACAGCGCCATTTAGGACGCGCAGTTGCAGCGAGCCGCTGAGGCCATCGTGAGGTGGTGCAGGTATTCGCGTCTGGCACCGCACAGCTTTCGTCGCTGGCGTTGTGCACAATGTTGGTCACAATCTCAGGTGTGTTCAACAGGTGAGATTGAATCTACTCGTCGGCAGCACTCGGAAAGCAAAAACGAGCGCCTTCACGGCCTAGATGAGGTACCAAATTTTGAATTAGATTTCGAGAACATCTTACGAGTTCACATCGGTACTTTCGTTGCTCATTAGTAGAGGCCAGATTTTTAGGCACTAAAAAGTGCGTTTTAGGCGCCAAAGATAGGCAGCTAAAACACCGTTTTAGGCCCTCAAAATCATAATTATAGGAACAATAAATTTGTACAAAAATTTAAATATACCAAAACAACGACGTCGCTGACTTGTATCTACGGCAAGAAGCAAAAAAAAAATGATACTGTTTAAGATAGCAGAAAGGTACCAACTATTGAACATTTGCATGCATTTCCCGCGTGATTCGCAGTATGTGGTCTTTCGTTGTATCGTCTGGCATTGTGCGTCAAGTGTCCACCATTCAATTAACACTCTCCTGGATCTCGTTTGTTTCGTTGTGGCTGGGAAGGGCAGCGCAGGAGCAAATACCCATACCACTGATACCCATGAAGAGAGGGATTCTATAGGTCTAATCGCGTAGGACCAATTTCAACACCTTAAAGGGCCACTCACCAGGCCCCATACAGAATTTTAGTTAGACAGTGGAAGTTGTTGGGTGTCCGATGAGGAACGTTTTGCCACAAAAATTTTTCGGATCGGTTCATTACGAGCGGAGAAAACGTGTTTTTTGAAGCGGCGCGAAACGAGAGTGAGAGGAAACGAGCTCGAAACCCTTGCCGCTCCTCCGCGTAGCCTTCGCAAGCCAAACCTCTTCACCACCCTCTCCGGTATCCGACCAAGAGGTGACGTTCGCATGACGTGCCCGAACAAGCCCAGCCCCCGTGCACGCGAGCGGCGTTGCTTTGTTGACCAGCATTATTTCGTGGTCTTCTGCCTGTTTCTGCGGGATTGTTTGGAAACGCTGGCTTAGAAGCGGTAAAGTAGATGAGCACAGTGAGTGCGCGAACGCGTAGGAGCGTTCCACGGCGGTCATCTCAATGCGCTGACCGCGGGAACCCGAACGCATGTGAAACGCTGGCACATTAGCCCCGCATGTCGTAGCAATTCACGGGAAAAAATGTAAGAAAAACGTTCACAATTTTTTATTGTGTCCTATTATTTATTTCAAGTTTTATTTATTTCTTAAAGCAACAAATATATAAACTACGAGTGTTGTGTCAAATAATTTTTGCCATGTCACGTGGTATACTGTTGAAAACGTCAGAGCAGAGTCGTCTACGTAGAGGACCAACGTGACCGCAGTGCTGTGTCAACACCACCTGGAAAGGGTGTTGGCTGTGTACGCACGGAGGAAGGAAAGGTAAGGAGAGGGCATGCCCAGCCGGCGCAGGGCGTAAAAAATGTGGCGGAAATTACGTCACGCGTGGCCATATTCACTAGGCACAATGGCGGCGTTTTGTTATTGTTGATATCATGACCTACTACACTCCTGACCTGCCCAGAGAGCACCTCTTCCAGCGCCCACGTTCTAGTTCATACCTTCTGCCGCTAGGGCCGTCACCTACGAGCGGCGTGGCGCTAGGCAGCACCTGTTCGCTGTCGTCTGCTTCAGCCATCGCTGTGGCAGTGCAAATCGTTCTTATTGTGCATGAATTGTGTATGAATGTGTAAAATATGGCAAATAAAGCGATATGATTCCTCGTCAGAGTTGGCTGCATTCGTGTGGACGTTTGAAGCAGAAATAGAACCGTAAAAAAAGCACACAAAGGGTCACAGTGGCAAGCAGACGGGAACTTTTCTACAAATGAAGGAAAATTTATTATGAAAATATTTCTTGAATGAAAACGTAGTCCAACGAGATAAAAAAACTATTGTTAGGCATTCATTGTTCACACTGAATCACGATGGTTCCAGACGATACGCATACACAAATTGCAGAAGATACGCAGAAACACAGTAGGTCGTGTGCAGAAACTTGCAGACGGCAGATAGCTGCAGTAGTCAGCTCTAATAGTGGCCGCGTGCAGTTTTTTTTTTTTTAGATGAGCTGACACCTCAAATGTAAGTATGGTGTATTGCTGCGTGCCATATTGCAAATCGGAACAAGGCAAACAAAGTAAAGTAAGTTTTCACGAGTTTCCTGCCACAGACATACGGGAAGAATGGATCGAGGCAATTGGAAGAAAAGGTGAGTCTTGTGTTTTTGAGAGTCGTTTCAATTCAGAACGAGTTGCAAGCTAGCAAGAAGCACCAGGGTGCTTTAGTAAACTTTATTTCCGTGTGTTATGCTAATTCACTGAGCTAAAAAACATGAAAGCTTTTTTAAAGTACCGCGGCTAATATGGCAGGCTCCACAAATAGTGCCAAGAAATTTAAATATAGCACACAAGAAAAAAGTAAATATACGAAATCTGTAAATTATGTAAAAATGCGTAGCGGTGGGTTGCGAGGGGTTCGAGCACCCTTCCCGAAGGAAACACCTGTCCAGGGCGAGTGTCCAAGGTAAGTGCTCAACAGGGGCACTGCGTTTCACCTGACGCGTCCTAAACAACCTAAAATCAGTTTGATATTCTATTACCAATGAGTACATTATTAGTCAAAAGCTTTATGAATACTAAATTGAAGTTTTTTTAGGCTGGAATGGCAAAAACAACCATGCAGCAAGACATTTCTACGCAAATATACAGCTTTAGAAGTCAATCAACCAGTATAGCCTAACTACTAAAATGTAACACATAGCACACGTTAGCCTTTTCAGCAAAAAACAATCACACGTATAGGCAGTTTGTCACAGAAGCAGACGCATGGTATCAGTCCGTCGCCCTCCTGCCGGCCGCACAGTAGCAGACGAACAGGTTATAGGTAGCGCCACCTACGGCGAGCGATTGAACGAGAGCGGGGACACGCGCTCCCATAGGAACCCCGCTATCTGAACAGGTCAGGAGTGTAGTAGGTCATGGTTGATATAATGCGGTGCGGCACCGTTCAGGCGGTCCACTGGCGGTGTGCGCGTTTTCATGGGCCTCGCACCTAACCGTGGCGT